AGTTTTTAAGGTCAGGCTTGACAAAGCCCTGGCTGGGATGATTTAGTTGGGGATTGGTCCTGCTTTGAGCAGTGGGTTGGACTAGATGACCTCCTGAGGTCTCTTCCAACCCTAATCTTCTATGATTCTATGTCTACTTGCTATTTATTTGTCCCCAGAATGGCTGCTTTAGGGAGCCATACTTTCTTTGTACAATGCCATCTCCAAGGTGGTGGTGATTTTCCTTGGTAGACTTGGGGGTGAAGAAAGCGGAAGTAGAAATGGACAAGGATAAGCTCTATTTTAGGTCTGTCTTGTATGGGAAATATTCTAATTATCCAAGAGTCCTAGATGTTAATTCATTCTTAAGGTTTTGCTGCCACTTATAATTTCTTAGATCTTCCCTTCTATTGTTTGAGTTAAAATGAACCCTTCAGTAGATGACTGGCTGGTAACTGACTCTCCGGAGCTGATATCTGACATTCTTTTAGGGGAACATTGACAACAGCCAGCCAAGGAGGAATGTAAGACGTGGGTCAATCCTGTCAGAATGGACAGTGCCCTCTAAGACTACAAATATAGCAAAGGAAAATATTAATTTTTAACAAGAATTTTGAAGAACTTTACTAATAAGAAGGATCATCTGCAGCAATGCTGCCTGTGCACATTTTTAAAACCTGCACCAGTGCGACACAAAACAGGACTGAAATTCCAAAGGTCAAGTTCCCATGACAACTGTTAACTTGGATACCTTGAGGGAGATTCAGACTCACCCAAGGCCTATGCCTCACAGAAGCTCTGTCTTTTGCCCTAGAGGAGAATTTCACTCGTGTGCATGTACTGTATATTAAGCAAACTTTTAACGGAAGAAGCAATATGCAAAACTTCTGTACATCCTGCGTGCAATGGGGCTGGGATTTTGTTGCAGTGGGAACCTTCATTTTTCTAATTACTTGACTTTTTAGCTGTTCCATTCCCAGCTTAACGCAGCCCTGAAAAATATGTAGGAGCAACAAGGTCTCTGAAAAGCTTTGCCTGTTAGAGTGATTTAAATGCCATTAGCCAATGTGCAGGGTCATGGTGTTTCCTTTGTTTTTAAACTGTAACTCTTATAAAGGCTATAAATACTTGGGAGTTAGATCATGAACCCTCCCATTGTGAGTAATGCTTACACCATCCAGCCTGGGGTCCCCTTTTTATGGTGAATCACTAGCTTTTAGCTTTGGAAAAAGAATTTCTTTGCCCATCCTCCAGCATCACTATGTTTTCTCCGTTCACGGTGTTGCTGGGTACGGTCGATTGTAGCACAGTTTGTCTATAAGGAACATTTGAGCAACCTCTGGCAGAACGAAAGCAAACATTGCAGGGCTTGGCCCGGGAGTTGCTAACAACTTTTGAAAGTGGCCATCGGAATACAGACCCTTAGCTCGGCACTGTTCCCATCACAGACTGCCAAGCGCTCTAGAAAAGCACCAGGAAAAGAGAATCAAAGATTGTGGATTTTGATTATTTTCAGTGCAGTGTTGGAGCAGGGGACATAGAATTAAAAGTTCTGCCTTCCGATTTCATTTAACTTCATTATGAAATGAACTGGCTGCTAGTAAATCGCAGTTCAGCATCGTCTCCTGCTACACTTTGAGTGAATCGCACCCATGGCCAGGTACCGACACGCAGCACCTCCCAAGCAGATAGTAGCTGCAGCTCTGGTCATTGTGTTTCTTTGTCTTTGTTCTGCTCACTCGTCGTGTAGCAAAGACATCCTCATATGGAATTAACATCCGCATTGATTAAAGTAGATGACCTCCTGAGGTCTCTTCCAACCCTGATATTCTAACCCTCATCCTCCCTTGTGAGTTACCAGAAACTTCACTTTAGTGCTAATGGTGATTTGAAAAAAAACACTTGAGGGCTGGACTCTGCCACCCACACTTGCACTAATATCTAATTGTGCAAAGCAGTGCCACGAACGTCCGTGTAGCTACTCGCGGAGTGTGGCCTTATTCAGCAGGCGTGATGGGGGTAGAGTCTGGCCCTACATGGCAATGGGTCTCAGGGTGATAGTGTGCCACCTTTCGATTGCCTGTTCGATGGAAACAAGACTGAAACCACTAACTCCAGCTGCCAAGTTCTAGGAGACTGGCTGGTGTGCTGGGCTAGCTGAGGGTTACTATCTGGGGAAAAGGGAAGGAGGCTTCGGTAAGTGGGGGTGACTCTTGCATTCAGTGACTCCATTCTGCCCCACATCCCGGCAACCTCCTCATCTCCCTGCAGTCCCTTCTGCTTTGTTGTTAATGATTATTTAGGCTGCAGTATTGTCCAGAGTGTGCTGGGGGAAATGCTTGCCCGCAAAATGTAAATATGAGCATTAATTGAACATGACTCAATATTGTGATGGGATCAAATATCCCAATATCAAACATGCTTTTAGCCATCTGGATTCAGATCCCTGCAAGGAAATTTGGGCTTTTGCCCCCAAAATTGCTAGAAACGCTCACAAAACTGGACTTGGAAAAAGTACTTATAAAAAACCCAGCATTTTAAATCTCTCTCGCATGGTGTCTCATGTTGGAATAGTTGTGGTCCCACCTGTGCTTTGTATATTGATGTTCAACCTCCAGAAATCAACAGGTGCGGGAGAGGTGCAGGACTCTTCAGATCAGTGGTGATGTCCATCGGCACATTTACTTTGTCAGGGAACAGAATAGTTCAGGTGTGAAGTCAGGGTAAAGATACCAGCTGAAACCCCTTTGTTTTGTTAGGAGAGATCCCCACACAGAGATTGGTTGGAGAGCAGCCTGCTTCCAGCTGGGCTCCAGTTCTGTTCCAAACAATGTGCATTCTGCGGACTGGCCCCACACTCTCCAAACAGCTGATCCTTGTGTCAAACACAGGTAGGGGGCTGGTAGGAAAAAAACACTTTACTTTCTCCCCCTTCCCTGCCCCCAGTACAGGTCTGGTGGAGGGACAGACAATGACAGCTTAGTGCGTTGTTTGTTTAAACTCTCCTGAATCAGTAAGTATTTCAAATCCTCGACTTCTAGTGCTTGCCTCTAAAAAGAACAGCTGAATGAGCTCATTGTTTTCTGATTTTTCCCTTTAATGTATTTTACAAACAGCCTAGTGACGGGCCTGACACGCTGATTCCTATGTGTGCTGCTTTCACTTGGGGATTACAGCATTAATAACATACTTCCATGCATCATGCCATTTTTAAGCATGATCGTTATGATAAAGGGCATATACTTAATTACAGGCCTGCTTAATTACAGCTCTGTTGAAGCTCGTTTGTTTAGGAGAATGCTAATTGCGCTACTGAGCCTTTGGCACATCCTTACTTTCATCTGCTGGGTTTCTCTGTACTGTGTATCAGCATTTTTTTAACTACAGTCTCAAAGACTGAGGGAGCCTAGTGATGCATTTCTGTGGCTGTTTTGCTGTGTTAGAGGAACAAACAGACGAGTGTTGGGTTATTTCTTTAATTTCTTTAACAAAATCCATTGTCTGGCTGACCAAAGCATCTCTCTGCCAGCGTAAGAAGTGCTGCTAGTCTCCCAGGTTTGAGAACTTGCTTGGCTCTGTGGCACCGTTTCTCATCAGTATATTTTGTTTGTTGTAACACGGTGGTTGTGTGTTGCTGCCACGCAGCACCATGCCTCCATCTGAGTTGGTTTGTCAAAAAAAATGATATAAAGTGCATGTTAAATGTATGAAAATCTTCCTACAGCCAACACCTGAACTCGTCCATGTTGGCTGACGTTAGGCACACAAACCAAAGAGTTGCAAGAATCCTGGCCATTTCAAATCAGAGCTCAAGAGACACTGCCTTGGCTCTGATGCTTTTCGGAAGAAAACCTGTTTGGGGTTAAGGTAGAGGCCACTGCGAGCATTGAACTTGTTTTGGGGACATGGTCATTTCGTCTTTTTCTCAGAGCTGAAATGGAAAGAGGCTGAAAGGACTGAAGCAAGTAACCGGCACGGATAAATTGTGAAGCCTGTTGGAGACTCAGTGTGCTGGCTTGGAAACGTGCCTTTTCCAGAATCTTATGGGAATTGCTGAGAGATGAGCTAGCTCCACTGGGCTACGGGGCCTTTCAGAGCTTGCTTTGAGGGCTGCAAAGGCAGTGACAATACAACAAAGATCCTTATCCTGGTTTAAAAGAGAAGACGACCCAAAGCATATGCAAAAACCACTCCCTGTTCCTAAGGTTGTGCTGCAAACCAAGAGAGCCAGGGCAGCGTGACTCAAGGCTGCCCCACTCCAGGGGTCTCGGATACTCTGATTTCATTGGCATCCGCTTCCAGTGGACTGTGTGTTTAGTGTATTGTATTTGCATGTGGTTATTTCTGGAGTAGACTGGCAAGGGAAGGTCATTTCTCCTGACGGTCTGGGAGACTCCATTTCATCTCTAGTGTCAGGATTTTTTTTTAAAGGATTGCAGACAAGTTTCTAAGTCTCTTTTCCAAACCTCCCCCTGTAAGTCTGCCAGTGGGATGCTTAGCACCTTGTGTTCTAGGGGGCAAAAACCATCTTGTCCTCTGAACCAAACATTTGATTTTTCTCTCACTAAGAAAAAGTGCTACATCACGAGGGCTCTTTCTTTTATGTAGCAGTTTATATGCAAACGATTATTACACAGTAATTGGCAAGTGGAAGTCTGTCCTTTTAAGCCATCTGCATTTGTTTTGGACTCCAGACGCTGCCCCGCTCGAGAGGCTGGTTCTGTATACAGTCCAACCAAGTTGGGGGCAAATTCATAGAACACGGTGTATGAAATTGTGCCAATGGCCAGAATGAGATTGGATGTTATCATGGATATACCTGACTGCCCCCCGTGCTTTGAACTGGCAGTACAATTGGGAGAGTCAACAGACTGGTCTGCCCTGATTGATTTGTACCCTGGTATGTTATTGCCAAATGTTGATGCAATTCATACATGGTATGTTTCTGGAAATGCAGTAAGTTATTGGACATCAGAATATCGATGTAAGATTTCAACTCTCTGTTCATCTGTATTTTTCAGCCATGGATGGAGTGCCTTTTATGATCTCAGATAAGTTTGCCTGCGCTCCTGAAGGGGTAAGTTACTGTCATGGTTCTCTAGGGTAAAGCTCACCCTCATGTGGAGGGCACTCACAAGGCATAAGCACCAGTTAAGCTTGTGGAACATAATTGGTGCATAGTCCTGGTGCTGGCCACCTGCACGAGGCTGAATTTCACCATAGTGACTGTAGATGCACCTGAGAACACTTTCGTTTGACGTGTGGGTGGCTGTTTAGATTGTTTCACCAGATCATTTCTAAAAGTAAATTCCTCTATTAGCTGAACCCTCGATCACTGCCAAGATAGAGGTGATCATGAGTAAATTCCTGGCTGCATTGAGACTGTCTGTATATGTTTTAAAAAAAAAAAGCGAATACCTGGTTTTCCAAGTCTAAGTTAAATCATTTGTCCCTTCCCTGCATAGAGGTGGCCCTGTTCTTTCAGATCCCAGAAATTGAGTACAATGCTAATGACACTGTGACTACTGCAGACACTTACTGAGAGTTAGAGATATTGCAGGGTTCTTTTCATCCCTGCTCTTCACAACGCCGCAGAGAGCGGTGCCAAGCTGCGGTGAGACCTTGCCCAGTGTAGTATAAGGCTGGTAAGGCACCTTCAAGCCCTCCCCAGTAGCAAAGATGGCAGGGCTGCCATGGCCCTTGATCGAACCAGCACATTACTGTAATTTGTGTTTAAAAATGAGGGTTTTTCAGTTCTTTGGTGGGAGCCCTGGACATTCCATTGTGGGTCTGGCCTCTTGCTGCTGAGCCAAAGTAAAATCGTTCCCAGTCTGCACCCACATCTTCGTTAGAACTGGCAGCCCGGCTTTCCCAGTACCTGACGTGCCATCGAAATAGTGCTCTGGGACTGCACTTACAGCTGAGAGTCCTGGGCGGTGCCTCCATTCTAATGAAACACAATATGCATCACTTACATCTTTCTGGAAGCTGCTTAATCTTGAAAAATGCTCGTGATTTTGCACGTGGAGTGCAAGTAACTTTAGCTGACCCAAGGTAGCTTGGTTGCCATGGCGACGCTGGCAGGATTCCAGTTTCTGGGGGGAGAGACTGTGCTGTCCTGTTTACCAATTCCAGTCTAGAAAGTTTAGAGAGGTTGTCATGTCCTAATGATACAACAGCTGGACCTCCGCTGGGGTCCAGGCAATAGAAACGTGGCTAGAAAAATGTTTTTAGTATTCATGTTTCCCTCTGGTTTGAGAGATTATATATGCCAAAGTGTATCAAGTGCAGCAGCAAAGCGAGATTGTGTTTCCATGTACAGAATACCGTCAACTGAATTCTGAACTGAATGCAATGCTGGTGATGAATTTAGGGTCTGCATTGACAGCCCTGCTGATTCGGCACAGGCAGTGACAGTGTAAGCTTCTCACGCTACCCTGCACGAAGGTTTCTAAACTCAGATCTGTGTCTGTTTCTGAAGGGAGAGGACTCGTGTCCTGTTCAGCTCAGGGTGTATCTGCTGCGATGGTCAGCAGGGGATGCTGGTCAGTTCCTAATGTGGTGGTGTGTTTTGTGAACACCTGTCCATAGGAATGGATTTCATAGAGAATCCCAAATAAGTGCCATTTAAAGACTTTGGAGTACTGCTTGCCTGGTACTAATTTAAGACTGTAATCTAGAGCTGAAAAGCTCCATATCCCATTACCATTCCTCTAATCTAGCCACTACCTCAAACAGTGTCTCTTTAAAAATCAATGTACAAGAAACTATTACTGAAAACACGGAACTGTCTTCTGTGTCTTGTTCTTCACGTCCTGCGTCTGGTGTTACATCTTTTTTGTTTTGTTTTGTGATTATAGAAACTCCAGATAAAATGTGATGGTTTTGCAGCCATTGCTGTCTGAAAAGGACCGTTTGTGCGTTGTTCATCCCTTCCACTCACGTTCCCAGAGAATTGGAATCCCCCTGCTGCTAGGAGAAATGCAGAGAGCCATTAGGCCATGCTAATCCTTCCTTAAGATTCCTGTGACACCATTGCCACCAGATGGTCAGTGTGGTCAGGCTTTTTCACAGCTAATGCCTGTCCTGCTTATGGCCCCATTGCCATCTAAAATCCAGGGTGTGGTACACACTGTGGTACAATAGCAGTTGTTCTGTGTCAGGAAGACAGCGAAGGATTTACCAGTTTAAAATGACCCTGTCAAGAATGGCAAATAATCCTGGTTAGTTATAAGCAAGCATTGCAATCACTGCCCATGGTCCGCCTGCCTCTGTGTCGGTGTGGTGTACTGGGGAAAGGGGTTACACGCATTTTTATAGCTGGTGCCTCTGACTCTCAGTGAAAGAGAATGTATCTTTTGAATTATTCTAAAAACTAAATAGCATGTTTCTGGGGTCTTTGGGGTTATTTTTTAGATGCAGCAAGTTGATCTCTTGGGCATCACAATCAAATCCCTGGCAGAAATCGAAAAGGAGGTAAGTGGCCCTGTGGGACTCTGAGCACAGGCACAGCCAAATCTGTGCTCACATAGCTGTAAGGTTCCCTCCCTTATGGAAAGAGTTTAGCTTGCTTTGCTAGGTCACTGCTGGTGGATAAAGTCAACATTAAGTTAAGCCAAACAGTAAGCTCAAAATTACAAATGCCTTTTTTGATTTGCGCCAGAAAAAGCTTTAAGCGTTGAATCTAACAGCAAAATCTGCACCCGCCATTTAATTCCAGATGTCTCTTTTGTTTAACCTTTCTTTCTCGCTTATTAACAAACTACATGTTTCCCCAAACAGGGCACTGTTTGTGTGAGGTTGCCTCTTCCATTTCAGGAAGCAATTGAACTCAGTTAAGCAGGGCCAGGTAAACTGCTTCATAATTTTTCAGTTTGATGGTGAACGTAACTTGTCACCAGGAACAAATAGGCTGAGATTTTAGGGAATGTGAACCCTCCAGAAGAGAGAGGGGATCAAACCAGAGTATTGTCCACTTCCAGCTTTGCGTCATTGCTGTTTTCCTAAGGCAGTGTTTTAGTATGTGCATGCGCTGTACCGCAGGATGGTAAGCAGTCAGATATTCAGAGGCAGCTTCCCTTTGAGAGGAATATTTGTCTTAAAGACGGAGCTGGTGGAACCATGTTCCTTTGGGATTCCCTTTTTGTGTTATCAGCTAACAAGTTCCTGTACTGAAGGCAAAGTGAATCAATGTGGCACAGCAAAATTTCTGAACCTGTCATAGCCAACGCAGAAACACAGCTGACTACTCCTTTTGTCTTTGATTTGCAGTATGTCATAAAAATGGAAGGAGTGTCACATGCAGATTATAGGTGACTTTACAACAAAACACAGTGGTTTATTACTCAAGTATTTTTATGGGAAGTTAGGAATTCTCATGTTTATTTCCATAATAAGGAAGACTCTATTTATAAGCTAACAAATCTTCAGGAACAATTTATTCAGGTTTAAGGTGTGAACATTGTATCCAGATTGTGAATAATTCCTTGCCCTGACACATAGCAGGGTTTAGAGCCAGGCGATCTGGTTGTGGAATATCTCAGAGTATCCCATGCATCATCTCCCCCATGGAAATGTGTATCAGTGACAAGCCAGCTCAAATCCTAGAGCCTTGCTGTTCTGTACCATCTCAGTCACCTGCTCCTCTGGGGCACTTGCATGCAGATAGCATATAACATAATAGGTTAATACGTTTATTTTCCCTTTCTTACTGAGAAATGGCAGAGTGAGGGTATAGAGTAGTTTCCCTGTTTGAGGGCATACATGGGATATTACTGGTGCGCAGGGCCTGGTGCACAGAGATGAACTTTACTCTGGGTGAAAAGCAGAACAGCATCTAATTGTGTATCACAAAGACCACTTAAGGAAGGACAGCTTGGTCCATGCAAAGCCTGACTAGTGCCAGGTGCTGCTGCTCCACCCAATGTGGGCCTGAACTGTTAGCATCTGTTGCTAAGATCAGCAGCAACAGTGTTTTAGTTGGTAGGTTTTGTCCATCTTGCTAGAGTGGCAGATTAAGAAGATGTTAGATTTCAACGTCAAGGTTTGAAGCCCAGCACCATGTGCAAGTTCTTGGATGGGGGAGAGCCCTCCAGACATGGAAGCACTGTTCCAAAGAGTCATGGATTAAAAAGCCTTTTCAGCGTGCCTACCCCCCCGCCCCCTCGCCAGGTTATGTGAGGGAGCGTGAGTGTCACACTCATTTTGTGCTGCAATGAAAGGGAGCCCTCCATCCCAACACCCCCTTCTCCCATCACAGGCCGCATGTGTTTCAGAGTAATGAAAAGTTTAATTATGCAGCCCATATTCCTTGATGAAGCATCTTGTCTGCATACAAAGAGATGTGCATATAAATATTGTGAATTTCTGTGTAGCTTTATTTCCCTTGCAAGCAATAGCTCCATTACAGCAAACCTGCTGGATTTCCAACCGCAGTAAGAGCATTTTCCCTGGAGCTGCATGCCACACAGAAATATTCCCAAAGAATTCCAGGAATGATTATTCATTTTATATAGTGGAATATGCCAACTGTACCAGCCATTCCCCAGGCTGTGAGAACAGCCTTCTCCTTTACATGAACAAATCAAGCTTTCTGCTCTTTGGGGGAAATGTTGTAGTTGCAGGAGCACCTAGAGACTCCCGTGCTGGGCATTGTGGAGACAGTCCCTGCCACAAGGCGTTTACACTCTAAATAGAGAAGACAAACCAAAGGGTGGGAGGGTCGCCTGGCAAAGAAAGAAGAAGCAACTTGTCCAAGGTCAGCGGCAAAGCCAGGAATGGATCCAAATCTCCTGACACCCAGGAGAGTGTCCTAGTCACTAGAGCACAGTTCACTTCTTGGGGGAGCGGGGGGGCATTTATACATCCAGAAAAAAGTCTGCTGTTCCTGCCTTCAGCTCCAGGAAGGGATTTTGTGCTTGTTTGTCATGCACTGCGTGTGCCCCTGCATAGCGAGACCTGTGTCATAATGCATTGGTAACGAATCCCCAGAACAAATTAAACTATCTTCTGTACAGGTGAGAGTGACACATACGGCCAGTGAGGAGGGCTCTCAGCCCCATTCATGCCCAGAACTCCACAGACTGTCGAGAGTAATTTATCAGACAGCTCAATATTGCCTTAAACCTCCATGCTGTAACATAGTTAACAATAAAGCATGACCATTGGCCTCCCAGCTCTTTTCAGCGCAAGCATTCGACAAAATGCACCACTCAGTTTTAACTTGGCGTTTAGCTAAAAGTCTAGTGAGAGTCTAATTAGCAAAGTGAACATCTAATATTAATCATTCTCTTCAAATTGACAAGGAAGGCAGTTCATTTAACCACTTAATTGCTACAGGTTTTCATAGGCTGCTCTTTGCAAACATTTTAATGAAGAAGTTGTAAATCTACAAGAGTTTAAAATCTTAATTTTATACAGAAATATTTTTCCTTGTTCTCCTGTTTGTAGTCAATTCTCCAGAGTGTAGTCACATGAAATGTTCTTTAAATGAACATATTTGCTAACTGGCATGATTTCAGTTTTTAAAACATTGGTTCCAGCAATTAGGCATTTTTTTCTGTTCCCAAATGACTAGAGAAATTCGTCTTGATTATAATTGCTCTTAGCCACGCATATCTAATTTGTGTCTTTTTAAGTGTTAATTAGTAAACAGTTTGAGCTGACATCTTTATGTGTTTGTGTGTTGAAAAATGAGGCTTATTGCTTATTTAGCTTGGGGCTGATAGTGCTGGCTGTGACATCACGACATTGAGGTAAAATTAATGAAGACATGTTTGCCAATTAAAAAGCTTTCGTGGAGAAGACGACTTCTTGACACATCCTCCCTTGCACAGATTCCATTTGAACGTGGGAGCTGTGTGCCATAGATCACTTTCTTTATAAGGTGAATAAGGCAGGAGTTCCTTATGTTTTTGGCATCTAAATACCCATTTCTCAGTTGCCTAGACAGCAAATTTCCTTAGCCCTGTATCGCATGTACTCACTTTTCTTTTTTTCAACTGCCTTTTGTAAAGGTTAACTTTAAAGAATAGCAGGTTTTGTCACAAAGTAATTTGTAGTCTTGTAGCACCATCTAGTGATGTAACGTTTTATTGCGTCTAGAAAATAACTTGGCTTGCCACTTCTCTGATCAGTAGTAAATATTTATAATATGGTGGCACCCAAAAATTCCTGTTGGCACTGGAGCTCCCTTGTGCTGGATACCATATAAGCGTAGAAAAGAGACCATCCCTACCTGAAGCCTAATGATTGTTATTTCTTTATCTGCTACCCAGAAGAAGAGCCCCTGCCTAGAAGAGCTGACAGTCCAGATGAAAATATCTCACTGTACAGAATCCGCCTCTCGATGTGATGGTGGCAACAATGTGTTTTCATTTGTGTGGCCTTAGGGTGATCTAGTGCGCAGAGCACTGGACTGGGAGTCCAGGGACCTGGGTTCGAGTCCTGGCTTTGTTCCTGGCCTGCTGAATGGCCTTGGGTCAGTCACGTCCCCTTTCTGTGCCCGGTTTTCTGTCTGTAAAATGGGGATAATGACACTGCCCTCCTATGTTCAGTGCTACGAGATCCCTTGATGGAAGCGCCTTTGTCAGAGGTAAGCAGCGTGATGTTATCAGCAGAGTTCTCCCTTAACTGGCCTCTCGGACACTCAGCCAGGGCGTGTGACGTGTCAGGAGAAGCGGCCAGGGCCCGGACATTGGGTTTCTAGCGTATAGAATAACAATGGCCTGTCCACAATGTCCCAGGGCGAATCCAGCCTCTCCCCTGGCAAGCACACAGATTAGTAAATCTGTCCCGGCCCTGTTTGGGGAGACCCAGGAAATGGGGGGCCGGGTCTGCCTTCCATAAAAAGTCATGGGAGAGCTTCCAGGGGACTGGAAAAGGGCTAATATAGTGCCCATCTGTAAAAAGGGGAATAAGGACAATGCGGGGAATTACAGACCAGTCAGCTTCAGTACCTGGAAAGATAATGGAGCAAATAATTAAGTAATCAATTTGCAAACACGTAGAAGATAATAAGGTGATAAGTAACAGTCAGCATGGATTTGTCAAGAACAAATTGCGTCAAACCAACCTGATAGCTTTCTTTGACAGGGTAACAAGCCTTGTGGGTGGGGGGAAGCGGTAGATGTGGTATATCTTGACTTTAGTAAGGCTTCTGATACTGTCCCGTATGACCTTCTCATAAATAAACTAGGGAAATGCAACCTAGCTGGAGCCACAATTAGGTGGGTGTATAACTGGTTGGAAAACCATTCCCAGAGAGTAGTTATCAGTGGTTCACAGTCATACTGGAAGGGCATAACGAGTGGTGTCCCACAGGGATCAGTTCTGGGTCCAATTCTGTTCAATATCGTCGTCAGTGATTTAGATAATGGCATAGAGAGTACACTTATAAAATTTGCGGATGATACCAAGCTGAGAGGGGTTGCAAGTGCTTTGGAGGATAGGATTAAAATTCAAAATGATCTGGACAA